TTAGGTCTTAACGTTGGCCTGACGAAGCGGTATTCAAATTTTAGGACAAAGTTTAAAGTCTGCAAGCTAGTGAACAACCAGAGAGAGAGAGAGAGAGAGAGAGAGAGAGAGAAAATGAAATTGCCTTACCTCCAAATCATCATCGATTATCTTCTCCCTCTTAACCGGTCGCTTTTTCCTTGTGAGCGTCGCATCTTTGTCCGACGAAACGAGACTCGGAACTTTATCACGAAAGATCTTACGGTAGATCTGCGGCGACCGGAGGATCTCGGTCATTACTAAAAATTAATTAATTCATTTGGCTTTCGAAAATCTGAACGAATCCGAAGCAAAATCCAGCGGGGTATAGTAGGTTTAAAAAACTGGTAAATTCGTAACAATTATAAACTAGAATTTAGCCACAATTTTGCCATTAGCTAGCTTCAAAAAAATGCATAATTAGCATCAAAACAACAAATCGATACTATTCAGGGAGATAACTGTTCGGTTAGGAGAAAATCCCGGGCAACTCCATGCGATTTTTGATATCATATGACTCTCGAGGGATGGCCACCCCCCAAATCTGCCACACCCAGTATATCTATCAGCTGAAAATGCGACCCGGAAAGAGCAGGGGAGGAGTTAATTGGCAAAACATAACGCAGAAAGGCATTAAGAGGGCAAAAAGTGGAAAATAATCGTTAAAACTCATCAAATGTAGGCTTACAAAATTTTTTTCAGATGGGTGAACGTTACCTTAAGAGGATCGAGGGGAGCCGTGCTCAAAATAGCGACCCGAAAGAGGAGGGCAGGGGTAATTAACCAAGCAAAACACAGAAAGACCTCAAAACCGTGAAAAGGCTATAAAAATCCATCACAAAATGATCAGATCAAGTTCAAAAAGTACTGAAAAAATATTCACGATACCTTAAAGAGGATCAAAGCAAGGGGCTGCTAGAAATTGACGAGAAAGGACAGAAATATTGGTCATTAAAAATTATACAATTTTGAAGTTATGTTAAACGGCAAAAGTTTTCTAAAATTTTTGAAATTTTCAGTTAAACAAAGAAGTTTTAATGCAGGCTATAATGAAGTCAGAATTTTTCTCGCCAAAAATGATCCGCTGCATTAATTATTTATAGAAACGACTGGTTGACCGGGTACGTTTCAAGACGCGCAGTTTGCAATGCGTTCCACTACGAAACGCACCTGCTGCCCAAATGAGCGGAAAATTTGCCAACACGCCCGGCTCGTTGTCACTTCAATTTGTGTTCCTCCTGTCTATCATGTCCACCAGGAATTTGCCACACGCGAAAATTCGGTCCACAAAAAAGTCGGGTGGTTTGAAAGGCGGACGTCTGACTGTTTCAAGCGTGGGTGTAGTCTGCTTCAAATAGTGTAAATCGCTGTAGAAAGCAATATTGGTCTCAGAATCAGCTTAAAACTGCGGAAATAGGCTTAGGTTTGGCTTCGGCTTAAGCATTGGATTGGGCTTAGGCTTAGAAATAGGCGTAGGCACAGGTTTGACTTTGAATTTCGACTAAGTTTTCTAAAAATGCCGAAATACGACATCAAGAATTTCCGGGCATGACCTCACACACAACAAGGCCCAAAAAACCTCCAAGAAACCCTGTCGTCGGGCCGTAAAATCGGGTCGTTCTCGAGGCGATTCGCATGGTATGCATTGAGGAGGGCGATCGCTCTTGGAGGCGAAAAGGGACATTCCGTAGGCAAACACTAGCCGCCTTTCCGGGCTTGGATAGCCCAAAATCTCACCCCCACGCACCGCCGCGCCATACCGAATCCCCTTCCGCATTGATATGCAAATTTCCAGTAGTGCGGACTTTGTTCGTTTGCTGGGGGTGTTGCCTCAGGTTTGTATTTCCTAGGTTTGAAAACTTGAAAACAACGGATCAGGGTTTCGAACTCTCATGGATAATCAGTAGAGCGAGAGAGAGAGAGAGAGTGAGAGAGAGAGAGATAGAGAAAGCGAGAATTAGAGATAGGGGAGAGAGAGAGAGAGAGAGAGCGAGAGAGATAGAGGGAGAACGTAAAACGACGCTTAGCAGCAACTTTTCCAGTATTTTCAGGGCCGCGCGAACGCAGCCCCTCACTCAAAAATTTAGCTGTAGGCGAACCCCAACTCGGAGCTGCCTTACAGGTCAGCCCGGCCGAGAAGTGCAATGGCCAAGCCTCGCCATAGGGGTCCCGTCTTGATGATCACGGGAACCCCCCAGCCAGGTAAGTTTATGAAGGGGTGGGGGACGGAAGGTATCCACAGGGAATGGGCCAGGTGGGTGGCGAGTCGATAGCCTCTGCGAAACTATTACCAAGAGTTTTTGGCGCCGGTATAGCGTATGTACGTGCGCAGCTTCAGCGACGCCCGATTTCAGGTATTTGTGTATATCTGATTATTGATATTTCATGCCCGTAAGTTCCTTTTGTGGCATCTGCATGTACTCTGCTCGACGCCCACTAGCCCACCCCCTGGGCGTCTCTGTCCCCACAACTACCCAACCTTCCATCCTTCCTCACCTCTGGTTCGTATGCATTTGACCGAGAAAATCTTTCGCCTTTTACTAAAGATTTCCGTGCACACGAACAATTATGAGTATACTCTAATTTTTGGAGCCCCCTCGAGAGAGCGGGGCAAAAATCTGTTAAAAATTACGGAATATGGAAAATTCGGTATGACAGACGGTATACTTGCTATCCGGGAAGCCCGCAACTCCCGGAAAAAAGGTAGTAACATAACGGGCACCGCTACACGCTTGCCGCGGAAGCGCAGGGGCACAAAAATCGTACCATTTTTTCAAACATTCAGTCCCTACGCGACAGTCAGCTCTCGCCAGAATTTCGCCCTGGACTCATTCCACCAGCTTTAAAGGCTGTTTTCGATGTGCTAACTGGCATAGCTCAAAAATCGCATTTGTGATTTTTACGATTTTTGAAGCTGCAACTAGACATCGGCCAGGTCGTGCCCTCCAAGGCCGATTTCGCAAGAAATCAACGTTGCCAAATTTTTTTAAATTGTGCATCTGAAAAAAACATCAAAACTTGTGCCGAAAATCGTTTGGAACAAAACCTGCGACGCCCTGGTGTAGCTGTTAGATTTTTTGAAGTGTTGCGTTTTGATGGTTTTCAGCAATCACGTGGATTTTGCCAAAATTATCCAAAAAATTTATAGATACGTCCGTAGCAAATCGGGCCATTCGAAAGAGATGGAGAACCTAATGACCGCCAGGTGTTTGGGATGATCGTGGAGCGCCGTCTGCAGTGCCAGTCGGCCTCTCTGTTTCTCTCTGTATCTCTCTCTCTCTCTCCTCTCTCTCTCTCTCTCTCTCTCCCTGTCTGTGTGCGTGGGAAGAGGATGGTCAGGGTCCTTATGTCTGGGTCTTTGTTTAGACAGCTCCCTTGCCTTCGGTTCTTCTAGCAAAAACCTTGCGTTACTGCCGCACCGGCATGGTTTAATGCATTCGTATAAGTTTGGATTTCTGAGGACTGTGTGCATTCATTAAATTTAACATTTTTTGTCACTTATTTACTACGTTAAGTGATAAAGATGAAACATTCGTTTCTAAGGATTTTAGGCAAGGTTGAGAGGTTGTTCCAATTTGGTCAAAAGCACTTGAAATAATGCGTTTTAAAGTGCGCTTTTTTACAGCTTGCAGCGATTGTTCAATCGGTGACTTTTTTCTGATTTTTACCTAAATCATAGCACTCTGAATGCTAAGTAAAATTTGGTCTTGATTTTTTTTAACTTCTCATCTCGGGTGTCGTAAAAAACACCCTCCTTGACTCGACGCCGCAGTATCGGATCGGGATGATAGGTACACGATTCTAAAGCATTTGAAGTGGCGAATTTGCATCAACTTCCAAAGTCATCTTTTTATTTAGACGCGCCACTTTACTACGGATTTCAGAGCATTAAGGAACAGCCTCTGCATTTAATTCACGGCTACTTGCTTGCTTGAAGAAATTGAGGAGAAGAAAAAAAATTGTTCGTATGCAACCGCAAAAAAGCCGGAAACTGTACCAAACTAGTCGTTTCAAGGGCTTCCGACTGGTGAAATTTTCATTCCGATCCGATACTTCTGCGTCGAGGAAGAGGGCGTGTTTTCTTATTGGCACGCCCTATGCACCCTGTTGTATTATTCAATGTTTTACCATTAAGATCGGTATTTTCTTATTAACGTTCGTTATAGAATTACCATTAAGATCGGTATTTTCTTATAAACGATAGTTTTATTATCGTGTCCGTCACACAACCCCCGAATTCCCCAGAATTCCCCCGCCCACCCCTAGTTGCAAAAGCCAGACGGTTTGGCGCCTCGGGGGGCATGTGATCATTCGTTTTTCAAGCCGCCGGAATGCTTGCCCTCTGTGCTCAGGGCTCGCGTAGTGGTGTGGTTAGGAGGGTGGATGAGCAGAAACCCCGGACGATCAATCAATTGCCCAAAGATGGAGTATGCGCAAGGGGCGATGACGAAGCACTGATGCTCTATTGGGAATGCCCTGAGGCTATGATGTGCTGACCTCACACCCGCATACCTTGCGTTTTCTAGCTAGCGGGCTTTTCTCTCATGTTTCTGTGTCTCTCCCTCTCTCTCTCTCCCTCTCTCTCTCTCTCTTTCTCTCTCGCTGGCACTGACTACGCATATTTAGTGCAGCAATGATCAAATTTTCTGTTTTGCTGTTTGCGTCCGTCCTTGTTGATGATTTTCCTTCTGGTCTAGGAAACCTCAGCCTAACCCTAATCTAGGCCTAGGGCTAATCCTAAACCTAAACCGAAGCCAAAGTACAAACCTATGCCTAGGTGCCATAGCTGTGATTTCATTTGGCTACAGGCACTTAAAGGGAATATGACACCTAACTTTCTTTTTTTACCGTTTCCTCCAAAAGTCATAACACGTCCTTCCTGATCGTCATCGCCAGTTTTTGAAATAAATTTAATCAATTGCCCTCAATTTTTTAATTCCCTGTCATCTTTTTTTCTCCTAAATTTCCTGGCCTTTATAGTCATGTCCTTCGTCCGGCCTCGACGACTCTTTGAAAGGAAACCTCCAAAATTGCTCTACCTCTACGGTTTTGATCCGGAAGATGATGAACAGAACGTGGCTGCAGGTTTGTAATATTTTATGATTTGCAATAAAATTTGTTTCCTCAAACTAAAATACAAGGTCTATTAACCACTCAATATAGCCGACGTCAGCCTCAACGAAGACCAAGAGGACCGTCTGCCGCGGAAGATCTTCGTCCGGGTGTTCGATATCTTCTTCTTCTGTCTCGCCATCGTCACTTACCTTTCTGATTTTATCTCCGATATCTTTGTTGCGTATCTACATTTTGCCGCTGGCAGGGTATTGAAATTTTACTTAAGAATACTGTATCTTTAGTACTGGTCCGGAGCGATTATTCTCGCGCCAGCTGTATTGTGCTCCTTGACGCTGAATATCGTCAGTATTGGGTTTATTTTGGAGGATGAGGTAAGGAGGAGAGAGAGAGAGAGAGAGAGAGAGAGAGAGAGAGAGAGAGAGAGGGAGAGAGAGAGGAGGAGGGAGGGACAAAGATAGAGAGAGAAAGAAAGAGATAGTATGTTCCTTTTAGATTCGTCCAAACGGCAATGTCCAAAAAATTAAATTTACTCGAAGATTAGTGTTACGACTTCTACTGTGTTTTTTACAGGTATTCAAAACTTTTAATTTTATATCTAAATTTTTTAGCTAGGCCCTATAGTATATTATATTCTGGCGATTCGTCGGGCTATAAAATTTCGGAACGAAAAGGACGAGAAAACGGCGAGGAAGCATTTCCGGTTTGCTACAGTCTGAAAGCCTGAAGCCCATGAATTTCAGAAAAATGGTCGAAGCCGAACGGGATGCTACGCTTTTACGTTGTTTTGAAGCGTTTCTGGAGTCGCTTCCTCAGCTTTTTCTGCAGGGCACAATTTTGGCCCAGTATTTGAATGGGCAATTTGTAGCCGGGGAGCTGCCAATATGGGGGTAAGAGATTAAAATATAAGAAATTACTGAAATAGCTTAAGATGCATATTAAAGGCATAATTTACTTGTTAGTTTACGTCCAAAGCTGCTCCGTAATCACGTCTCTCCTTTCCGCCTGCTGGTCGATCTCAATTCATCACCGATCTCTACGAATGTCGCTGGGAGATAAGGTTAATATGTATCCACATGAGAGCTTTTTGCAGGTAAGTATTTAAGATAACTTTTTAGCTTACGGTATTAATTTTAGCTTTGTAATTTAATAGAATTATTCATTGTTTCTAGTTTATCTGGCGTGCCTGCACCGTGCTCTCCCGCTTCATCATCATCATCCTCGGCTTTATGGCTTTTGGGGCTTGGATGGGACTGTTTTTCGGGCTTCACTTTGTGATCTCACTTTTGCATATTACTGCGCTACAGGTACCGACTATTTTGATACCATAACTCTTCATTATTCAGTCCGTCGAAGCCACATTTCCGGCCATCGAACTGGGGCTACTCGTTGTAAACTCTTTTATCCATCTGACGACACCATTTAATATGGCTGAAGGCAAAACTCGACGTCAATATACCGTAGCGTATACTGTGGAATTTTTGGAGGGAGCTGTAAGTTGGTCAAAAATCTGGAAAAATTTTGAAATTGACCGCAAAAGTGGTTGAATTGGCTTTGTTTTATAAATTACGTAATTTCCTGATGCCGAAATTCATAATGTAAAAATTCCGTAATTTCGAAAGTCATCGATTTAAAATTTCATGATGGCGCCATTTTGCGTTATGGAAAATTTCATAATGCTAAATTTCACGATGTCGGCACTTTCTAACGTCAAAATTTTGACAAAATAAGAAGAGAAATGAAAGAGAGAGAAAAGTTGGGGGATGTCCAAATTTGCATCGAAATTTCGAGTATCGCAATTTTCTAATGCGGTAATTTAAAAATCTAAAAATATTCAAACTCTTTTCGACATCCAGATTTAGACAATGGCAAAGATTAACTATTTCTTTTACGACTAAAAAATTTCTATAATCTTCCAGATCCTCGCCGCCCTCATGCTCACCAACAAATCTTTCAAATTCCGCTGGAAATTTGAGTGCATCGCGACGGCCGGGATTCTGTTTATATTCGGGATTTCCGTAATGTGCCTATACTACGGGTTCTGCCACCCGAATCGGCGGCGACACCTCAGGATTGAGTGTGATGGAGTGAAAAGGGAGAAGACGGTGGAGACTACAGTGGCCCAGGAAATGGAGGAAATTACGGAAGCATCAATACAGATCTCAGAAGAGCAACCAAGCACTAGTCATCACGCTCCAAGTCTTTCAGAATAAATTTTTCAAGCTTTTTTTTCAAAAAGAACAAAGGTGCAAACTTACTTGACTTAAGCTTAGGCTTATCCATAGGCTTAATCTAGGGCTATATTAAACTTAGGCCTAAACTTAGGGCTGATTTTCATCTTTTTGCGATTAAAAACAGGACAACTAAAATTTTTTTATCACGCCCAACTCTGCTGTAGTTGGGTGAAATAAATATTAGTATGTTTCTCCGTTACGGAGAGGTCGTCAAAAATGATATTAAGTGAGGAGCTTGTCACTGAAGCTCCCTTGACCGGTTTCGGCATGTCGGTTACGGTAAAGCGGCCCCATTTCCGGACATGAACCCAGGCGGCGGTAAGGACGACGTTGGGGAATCTGGAGGGAAAATTAGAGATAGTTTGTAGACGATGTTGCCAAAATCTAAGTAACTCCACTGTAAGGTGCTTCGTAGCTTTACAAACCTCATGAGATCTATTGTGATGCCTTGCCTCCCCCCCCCTTTAATGCTCGTTAACCGCTAAAAACAACTCACATATCAATGGCACACTCCAAAATTGCGTTAAACATCTGCCCAACGATCGTCTCACTAGCTTTCGGCCGGATGAGCAGTCGAGGCACCGAATAAATCACCAATCCAGTTAGTATCATCATGGAGCCGGTCCAGACTATAGCCCTCAACAACTAAGCAGCCAGATTGGAACGCGCACAACAAGTACATACCTCCAGAGACTTAATGTTCTCCGTGATCTGGAAACGGAGGCTGAGCGAATAAAATCCCTTGGTGCTCATCTTCCGCTTCTCAAGATTTTCCGCATTCCGGTGGTTAATTTTGTAGATGTGGATGTAGCACTAAAGAGGAAAATTTGTATTGGGAAAACTTTGAGAAACTTGGCCGTAGGCTTAGGCTGAGGCTTAGGCTTAGGCTCAGGCTTAGGCTTAGGCTTAGACTGCTGAAGCTTAGGGCTAGGCTTCGGCTTAGCTTTAAGATAACCAATACCTACCACCAAAGAACTAACAATAGGCCCAAACAAGATTGGCACCGATGCCCATGCTCTCAGAACGTCTAAAAACCAACTTTTCACCTGCAAGTCAATGTAAACTTACGGAGTATCATTAAAACCGCAAATATTGTGCTCGCAAGGAAGTTCAGGGTTAATAACAGTCGCGACAGGTTTGACTTCCAGCTCTTCTCATAGTCCTTGGCGAACAATGTCGCTAATAGTCTTTCGAATACCACGACTGGGACTGCGAATGTGAAGAAGCCCATTAAATAAAAGTTTATAAGAGACGCGGTGAGTAGTGGAATATCGTGGGTGAAGTTTGCTAAAAAGGATTTGCAAATTACGGGATTTTGCTACCTGTTATGGGGAAAATTCGTAGTGGATGGTATAAGAACAAAACCGCTCGCACCAGGACCAGGAGGTGACAATGATAGGTCATACAGAGGGCGATACCTTGCAGGTTAGGGTGGGTGGTTCGAGCACTAGAGACGGCCCTCTGAAAATAATCCTATTTTTCAGGTATTGAACGTATTTTTAAAACTGTTATTTCGCTGTTAGCACTTAAGGTTGCTTTTATAGCTTTTTCTCGAAGCACGGCGCGTGTTACAGTTAGAAATTAAAGGGAACGGTCGTCACGCTTATCGATTTAGGTCCGCAACGCACCGCTTCGCGACCATAGGATCTTGATTCATTACGTCATGAAAGGTTGGCGACAGACTCGCGTACTCAAAAATGATGATAAAACTTTTTCTAGGCTATAACTTTATCATTTTGCATTTTTTGGCCTGCAGTTAATACTTTTAATATATTTTTCGATGTTCTATCGAATCGCGTAGCCAAAATCCTGACAAAATAGCAGAAGTGCCGAAAAAATTTTGGGACCATTGGGCTGGGGGGAGGGGTAGAGTAGTCTAGCCAATTTTTGGCGGATTCCAAAGCCCCGACTCCTATTGCTCTGCCTTGCCTGTCCCTTTAAAACCGCTGAGCAACGCAATTTTGAAAAAAGTGCAATAGACAAACCTGAGTAACCAATATAATCAAAAATCCAGTCACAAAAGTGACGCCTTGTATGCAGTAGAAAATTAGCATCAGCGGATACCACCGTGTCCCCTGCACGATCATGTCATCAGTATAGATGGGGAGAAAAACATCCAACGTCACCCCGTCGACGTTATAATTGACCATCTGCGAGTAATCGATTAGAGTATCGTTCATCGAATTATTTGAAAGTAGTAGTGGAAGAAAATTAAAGCCAATTGATCGAGCAAACAATAGTCCGGTGAGAAGAAATTTGTGGGAACAGGTGAAAATTTGAGGCATGACCGGAAACGAAAAAAACTGCTTTGCGTCTTTGACGTTCAAAAAATCTTTCTTTAATCATTTTGTGCAAAGAGAGAGGGGTTAAGTTGCAATGTAAAGGTCCTAGGCAATTTTGCAGGCTTTAATCTACCTTTTTCAGGGAACCCAAAATGCCAGGGATGTAATTGGGACGGGAAAATCCGGATTTCGAAGATGCTACTGTTTTAAAATAAGAAAATTGTTTTTGTCGTAAGCTCTACAAAAAAACAATTAGTTCTGTCTGTAAATAATAAGATAATGTAATTATTTATAGTACAATATAATTAAAGAATTGTAATGAATAAGAAAGATAGAAGCTTCTATTGTATCCAGAATTAATGATTTTTCTGTATTTGATTACGAAATCCTCTACTAAAAGCTATGCGGTGTTTTCGACCATAGTAATATGCAATTAATCCATACAAAACAATCCTTTGTCAGTTTCCGGCTTTTAGAGGTATCTATCTTTATTCAACGTTCCAAGGAAAAAACTATGCTACCGCCCGAATGACTTTGGCAGCGACGCGTCGTCGGTGGCGCTCAATGAACGTCCTGAAAAGTATGGGTTCAAAATCTGCGACTGTAGTGTGAAGCTCTCTTTACCTATCAAAACTAATTACAGGTGTGGCCGCTCTAAACTCCCCTGGGGATGGTAATCATAAGGCGGTAAATTTCCGGCGGAGCTTTACTTTCCAAGGATTGTACTTTAAAAATGCAAGCTTTTTCTGATATTTTTGTAAAATTAGCATTCCTAGAAATGCAAAGCCCTAGGGATTCTAAGGATTAGTAACCGTCCAGACGTCAGAATGTTTACCCGTACTTTTTGATTTTTGTAAGTCTCCAAGCTCGCTTTTGAAATTTATTTTAAACATCTACTATCATTTTGTGGAAATTCCTTTATGTCTAAATTTCAATTTTTGGTTCTAACCCCCTGAAAACGCTTAAAAAAAATACCAAAAAAAATGACGACAGATCGAACTTTGTCACTCTAAAATTTCGGCATTTCGGCACCCCCCAAATATCATATTTTGCTGTTTGTTACCTCAACTCCTGCTTAATCTTCGGGTGTATGCTGATATTCCGGGTATCGTGACTATTCGACAATCTCCGCAGCATTCTCTTGGCGGCCGGGGAGAGTTCGGAGAGCTCCTGTTCTCGGGCCTGAAACCAGACATTAAATTATAACCATCACCTGCCCGTGTTTTGCCCTTTAATTATTAAAAACGTTCGAGAGAACGCTTGCCCCACGGTTCAACGAAACTGCTGTAGTCTAGCAGGAAACTGGGTTCTGATCGTACTAGGGTCGGATATTAGGCTCAGGCTTAGGCGTAGGCCTTAGGCTTAGGCTTCGGCGTAGGTTTACGCGTAGACTTAGGCTTAGGTTTAGGCTAAGCGAAGCTTGGGCTTAGGCATGGACCTAGACAAAAAGTTCACTTAAAATACCTTCAAGACTCGTCTCCGCTTCGTCGCCCACGCGTTGTACTTTTCTAATTGTTTACCAGTCAGCAGGGATACGGCGAGAAGTTGGATCTGAAGGTAAAATCGTATATTTCAAAATTCCTGGCCAATCTTGCAATTTTAGCTGTAGGTTACCAACCTTCTGAGCTCGTAGGGGCTCTGAAACGATATCTTTATCACCCCAGGTTTTCATAAATTGTCGTCGGACTCCCGCTGAGGCTCCTTGGAGGAATGGTGCGTCCGGGGTATCGAATTTTTCGGCTAGAGGATCTTCCGAATTCCGTCCCTGAACATATACAATGTAGTTTTCAGGCTCTTTCCTAACCTCGTTCTCCTCATCCTCGTGCTCATAGTCCTGATAGTCATTCCTAAACTTTTCTAAAACAATATTAACCTTGCGGGGATATGCTAACTTACTGGAATGTGAGAAGATGACACGCCCTCCAACCGGCGTATTGCTATTTGATGCCCCGCCATCGTAGTCGTCCTGATGTCTCGATTGCAGTTTCTTGTATTGGTGGTATCTATTGAAGGCGGCTTTTTGCTTTGGGTCCTAAAAAAATTAAAATATCGCTAAAAATATAGAACCTACAAGATAGTCATACTCATGCGGGGCTTTCGGGATTTTTCTGAAAACTCCAATTTGCAGCGCGGGAGCATGAGGTGGCACGTACCCTTGAGTGGGGCGCGGTGTGTGGCCTTGGAACTCCTCATGGTCCTGGGCATCCTGATCGGCATCCGGGAAATCCTCTGGGTCTTCTCCTCGGTAGTCCTCGGTGTTCGCGTCGATTTGCTAAGAGGGAAAGTTACGAAAATAGCTTAGGCTTAGGCTTGTTGGGCTTGGGCTCAGGCTTGAGCTTAGGCCTAGGCCTAGGTTAGTTTTAGGCCTAGGCTTTGCATAAACCTAAGCCTGGGCTTGGCCGGTGGCTTAGGATAGGCTTAGGATTAGGATTAGGCGGGGGCTTGTTCAAACAAAATAGTCGAGAATCCCTACCGGCTTCGGTTGTTGACGTCGCTTGCCATCAGGGCGGAACTTGTTCCTCGGCTTGAACTTTTTTCGTGGCTCTGCCTCCTCTGGAATGATATTTTTTTTGAAGTGATGAGCATGGATTCTCTATTAAGCGTGGTATGTGCGTAACAGAGGACTACAATACAGTTTTTAAGGTGCATTTTTCTAGGGGCGTAAAGAGTTTACGCTCCTTGCCTGGTTCCTTCGGTTTTTAAAGGTAGTTTGACAGCCGGTCTTCATCAAAAACTTTTTGCGTTCATGCAAACCAGTGCCAGCTGCTCCCAATAACTTACCATGCAAGAACAAACCTGGATCCTCAGGTCCAAAGTTGGCGGTGGATTCTTCTGGGACGGAGATAGGCTTCTCCCTTTCTTCCGGCAGCTCGGACTCAGTAGTAGTAATAGATTCCAATCTCTCCGTTGTCAAATCCCCATCCGGCACTTCTGACGTGATTTCAGGTGCCACAGTAGTGCTGGGTGTGCCAGTGGAAGCTGCGGGCTCTTCTTTTTCAACCGTGGTCAGCTCGGGTGCTTGGCTGGTGCTTTCGGGCTTAGGTTCTGTCGGCTTTTCACCCTTCTTGCCTCCTTTTGGCTTGGCTTCCGGTCCAAATTCTTCGCCAAATTGTCGTACAATGTCGAGGATGTCTTTGGTTTTTTGCTTCTCGGCTTCGCAGTCGCCTTGGGTGTAGGCGCCCCTGAAAATTCGGTCGACGTCAGAATTCAGAAGTTAATGATCTTAAAGTTTCCAAAACTTACCAAACCGCTTCCAGTTCTTTTTGAGCATATTCTGGTAACGTCAAAAATTCGTCTGGAAGGCCACAATCTTTAGAAGTAGTTGTGGAGACACTTGAGGAGGAAGATGACTAAAATTCGAAGATTTTTATTTGTTATAGTATGATCTACACTTCCGAAACACTTTAAAGTGACCGGCAAATCATAAGATGGTTTGTTTTTGCTATAGATTTTCCGACTGAGAAACGTAACGTGCGCAAATACATATAAGTTATTTCATTACGCGATGCCACTCGGATGTGCGCGTTTCGTGTCGCGGGTACGGAAAACGCTCAAAGAAAACAACAGGTTTGCCTTGCCGCTTTTTCTGAAAAGTAGGCCCGCGATACGCAACGAGCACTCGATAAACGGAGTGAAATTCGGGTATCTTACGTTTATTCTATTACGCCATAAAAAACGCAGCGTATGGGTTGCGTGTTGCGGATCTTAACTCCCAAAGGAAATCCATAGCTCTGCTAGTCCGCTTCTTTAAAAACTAAGCCTGAGAAACGCAACGGGCATATTTTTCGATTTGAATTTGAATTTGAAAAACTGTGATATAAAGAAGCTATAATCGATTACGCAACCAAAATACAGGGATACGCATCGCGAAAGGTCGTATTTTTTAGATCTATAGAAAAATCATGCCTTACACGTCCCTTTAAACCCCCCCCCCACCACCCAAACTCACATCATTTGGCGCCACAATACCCAGCAGGGCTAGAAAAAGTAGTCGTCGTTGCATTGGGGTCAATGATTTTCCAGAAGTCTTACTTTTCGTCTCCTTCTTCCCGTCCGGACTAAATAGATAATTTTAGCGCTGTTGTTGATGCCAATTCACATTAAAAACAACTAAGCGCGAAATCACAAACTCTACCCCGTTTCGGTCCACTCTACATTGTTATGCCTCAACAAAAAGTTGTCCGCCTTGAAATGGGTGATGCTCATTTTCAAAGCGATTTCGGGCAACAATAACAGAATCGTAAATTTAGAGCTAGGAATTACGTGTAGTCAGAGGTAGTAGATGGGATGGGATGTACGGATTTTGGGGCGCTGACCGGAGATGCGCCTCTCCGGTTTACCGGAAAGACGTGTCTAGTACTTGTGCCAAGGTACTCGAGGAGTCGCGCGCGGAAGGTAATAATACTCTTTTCCTTTTTACTGCCTTACTCCTTCCAGGGAAGGCATCCGGACACTTTCTCTTAGTATGTCGTGTCTCTCTCCCTCCCTCTCTCTCCCACCTGCCTCTCTCTCTCTCATTTTAATTGCCTCATTTTATTCCATAAATGACCGGGGACCGAGTGGCGTACTGAAACAAGAGGTAGTCAGATGCTGGTCAGTTTTCTGGGCAGAGCCGAGACACAAAATGGCGCATTTTAGGAAACGGGTCTCGGACTACTGCTGACGAGAAACTGGTAAACTATGCCTAGACTAGGCTGAACTTGGGCTTCGTTTTAGGATGCTGTGTGATATGACAGACGCATTAATAGTAAGTATGAGATGACCTAACTCACCTCTAGCCTTCACCGGTCTTTTAAAAGGTCGTCGTGATAATGATGATATTTTCATGATTCAAGGAAAAGTGTCATTAAAATAGCTTGGAGGGCCGCTCCTATAATTTAGTGGACCTCCGAAAGTAATATTTTCGCCTGAACTATGGTATTTGGATCCGAAAATATCTTCTAAAGTTGAAATTTTGGCTGGTACCTAATTTCAAACAAATGTTGCATTAATGGTAGGTTAACTAGTGTAATTAGTCAGTCATTCCTTCTCCCAATATACCAATACACAAATAAACAAGTCCACGCCGACGACGGGAATTCGGCCAAATTTACATCAAATTCCAAATTCGAATTGTGGGGGGAAGAGGGCCAGCGCTGAAACCCCCGCGTAGCGGGGGTCAGCGGTGTATATATGAAATCCAAACGGCTAAATTACGGCCAAAGTACAGGTAATTTGAATCTTGGTACCGAGGTTTCGAAACAAAAACACCTCTGACAAGCGACAACAACGAAAAACAGAAATATTCAGAACCTATGCCTCTAACAAATATAACAGCCTAATGGTCAACAAAATATAGACCCCATAACAATTCATACTGCAGTCTGCCCGCCCGAGTTGCCGGTGGGGCTACTGAAGTGAAAGGAGGAACAGCCGGGCCGGCGGCAGGAACCAGCCCGCCACGCTTCTGCCCACGCGAGGAGGTGGATATCCTTGATGGCATTTATGCAGAAGCACCTCGGGGGAGAAAGGCGCTGAAGGGCCGGAAGGAGCACGAGGATGAGGAGGAGGAGAGCCCCCTTTCGTTTGCTTATACAGTAGTAGCTCTTCGTAGCGGGCTCATAAGCACGTCGACGACCCCTGCGCCTTGTCTTCTGGCCGGTTTTTTTCTGCCCATCTCTCAATAGGGCAACATAGACACAACCACTTTCCCACATCACACTTTCCTTTCCGTTTAGGGGGTGATGTCGGATGATAGAGACTGTAGCGTCGAGTGGAAAGGGCGCTTGACCGTTTTGCCGATGGCTGAAAGGGCGAATCGACCTTAAAGTGAAAACTGCAACTAAAAAGATGAGAAACAAACGAGTTTTCTTTTCATTTTTTAAGATGCAAATTGAGTTGCGTGCTGCAAAAGCCCGATTGCCCCTAAATAAGGGTTGAAAGGCAGCGTAACCCGCTCTCTCGTAGAGTTGCGTATAACGGTCATACGCGCTGCGTAGACACAGTCAGGCTTTTGGATCTCCTAAGCCTAAGCTTGTGCATCTCGCGAAGGAAATGCGTTCCAAAATTTGTTCGAGACACTCGTGGAGGTCTCGGGGTTAATGCTAACCTCAAACTTGGATAATTAAACCGAAGCTGTCGTTGGATGGCCGCTCTTACCATCTGCCTGGACTCCAGGTGAGCGACTTTTCCCTTGCGGTCACTTGCTGAAACAGTATGATTTTCCAAGTTTCGAAAAATCATAGCAACCATGCCCATCCGGCTTCGTACCAGAGTTTGTTCGGCGCTATTTTTGATGCTCGTTCAGCTGCAAATTGAGTTGCGTATTGAAAATGGCCGTTAGGCTCCGATTAGGCCTTGCAAGGCAGTGTAAACCCCTTCACCGTACAGTTGCGTACAACGACCATACGCGCTGCGTAGCCACATTCAAAATTTTCGTGAAGTCGTTTCAATTAGATTTCGTCATTGGATTGTTGCTTGCCACGCGGATAGTTGCAGGACATATAAAGCGAAAACACATTTTATCGTCTGTTTGTCAGCTTAGTTTTGCCCCGCTCTCGCGAGGGGGCTCCAAAAATTAGAGTATACTCATAATTGTTCGTGTGCACGGAAATCTTTAGTAAAAGGCGAAAGATTTTCTCGGTCAAATGCACACGAACCAGAGGTGAGGAAGGGAGGGAGGGGCGCGCACGTATGGAGACAGAGACGCCCAGGTGGTGGGCTAGTGGGTAGCCGACTGGGAGCATGCAGTTAGCGCACACTAGCTACCAATGGCTTTGCTTCTATTTTGATACCAAAGGTTTTGTTTCTATCATTTCATGACCTGTGTGACGTGTAATGGGTTCAGGCATAATTTATAATTCGATGTTTGTTGAATCATTAACTCGTACGGAAAGTTACAACTACATCGATCTACATCATAAACACACATCCAAGTAGAGCTAACGTATTCGTTTTTGTGTTTTTCCATTTTTCAATGGCGATTACCGTTATCAGACAATTGATGGTCAGCCACCGCTTGTAATTGCGGCGATTTATTGGGTCATTAACCCGTGTGGCTGCTTCGGCTTAAATGCACTTTTCCGTGGTGGAAGTTTCCAAATTTAGCGTGCTCCTTTAACGGAGAGCACTTCATTTGAAACGGCAACTGAGAGTTCGACAACAACGTCCGCCGCGCCTATCCTAATTTCTCCATGCCCCACACGGTTCATTGCCGATTTATCGGATCAGTCTGATTATAAGGTATATTGATGCCCATGTAAGGCATCAGCGACTAGCTATTTAGGGACCACAACGGCTAGCAATCGAGGCTGCCGTGAAGCTATTTTTTGACGAAGCTTCGAGCGTGGGCATAAATACCACAGTTGCGTTTTGGCGCTATAGCAGTGGATTGGAGGCTGATGGGCCCTTACCGCCCACTTTTGCCACTTCAGCAAGCGATGTCAGGCTCGATTTTAGCCGGCCAGGTGGCGAGCTTCTGATTGAGCAGTTCGTGATAATTTATGTAATTTAAAATTATCCTTTTAGCGCTTCCGATGCTCTGAATGATTGGCCTGACGAGAGTGCAGTTGTTGTTTTGTTTACGGAGAGGTGACGCTCCTTCGAAACAAATTATACAACTTCTATTTAGCCCTCAGAAGGATATTGATTTTGCCGGTGATACTTATACGAGAAGAGACTTTACGATTGGCGTTTCCGGTAATTTCAGTCCCGAAAGTCCATAGTGATCTATAGAAACGCGGGACACTTGGCCGTATGCAATCTTTCCACTAGAAATCGACTATCCTCGAGTCATTACCAAACTTGTATGGCAGCTGTGCAAGCGTTTGGTTGTGTAGGAAAATTAAGCCCACCCTACCAATCTCACTTTATGAGAATCGTTTGTTTGGTCTTAGAAATTTAGTTAATTTAGTTAGTCAAATTTTCTCATAAAAATATTCCTAATTACGTGATGTTTTGTTGATCTTCATGCTCCTATTCGCATCTGTCTGTGTCAAACAAACAGATAAATAATTTATAATCTCACGAAGCACACAATGATGCGGATATAGCTTCTATGAATGCGTATTGCAATATCGAATAGAGGGGGCGTCTGCTGGCGACTGGCACGTTGAGGGGAAAGACTACCGCGTGGTGATTGGGACAGGGAAAAATGATATAATTAATAGGGTACAGGGGAGGGACGCGGCGGATTGGGACTGAGCATTAGTGGACGAGCGGAAGGCAGCGGAATCGAAACGGAATTGTCAATTCTTAGGATATTAAGATTCCATTTTGATTCCGGGGGTTCTATCGAACCCGTAGTCAATATCAAGAAAAATATGTAGGTAAAAACGTATAATCACAGGATGTAGATTGAGGGTCTTGAGATTTTTGAATCGGGCTCTAGCATCGGGATATGTCTGTTTTGGGCAGCATCAAAGGGAGGAATTCTGATAAAAAACGGGTCTAGCACAGCGGCTTGACTTGAGCAATCTTTCCGCTCGGCTCCACCATGCGGATCTCGTCGATGGCGCAGGCGCCCTGGTTCGTTCGAGTGTTCTCGCAGACGAAGATCACCTGAAATTACCATTAGTGCGTGTTTTTGAAAGAGATCGTACCTTCTCGGTGCCCTTAGGACACTTGAGCGATGCCGTCTTCCAAACGCGGTCGCTGACCTTCACGAACTTGTCGGAGGAGAAGGGGCAGCTATCGAGGGAATCGCAGCAGCCCTAAAAAAAGATTATATTTTGTAAAACCGTAAACAGGTATTTCGCGTACTACATACTTCTTGCTCTCTATCCCGCTGTCTCTCACACCCTCTCTCTCACACCCTCTCGCTTTCTCTGCCGCCCCCCCCTTTTCTCTCGCTCGCTCTCTCTCTCTCTGGCGTTGTCTCTTTCTCTCTCTCACTCTCTCTCTCCTCACCTTAAGCTGAACTCCGTGTGTTCCCTCGTAGTAATGGAATCGAAGTCGTGAGTTCTCGGTGAACGGCGCGTTCTGGACCTCCAATCCGGCCATTTCACGTGGGAACAAGAAGGTGGCGGCGTAGTACGACCCCTCTGAATAGATTCTAAGTCAATAACCATAAAATCCACTAACCAATGCTTTCCCTAACTCCGGTCACCCTGTTCATGAACTGTCCGGAGACGACCTGGAACTTGGTGGTGAGGCCTCGGATCGACTGTGTTTGGTGGGCATCTTTGTAGTGGCAGGTAGTGCCTGAAACAGGTTGATGTTGTTGACGC